CCAATTCTCCTCCTTTGGTTTGTACTCTGGGCCTCCAGCAGATTGGATGGTGCTGCCCACACTGAGGATGGATCTTCCCCCCAAGTCCACTCAGGTTCACATGCTAATCTCCTCTGGAAACACCCTCACAGACACACCCCAACTCAATGCTTTACCAGTTCTCTAGGTATTTCTTAATCCAGTCAAGTTGACACTAAAAAGTAACCATCACAATGAGCATTAGCAGGAGGACTTGGTTAGGTTTGGGTATTGGAAAGAATTCGGGTGACCGGGGCCTCTGAGAGTCCTACAAGGGTGCAGGGAAGCTGGGAGGGGCAAGTGCTCCTGAGGACTGTCTTGGGGTGTCATCATATCACATTTCTCATAGGAATGGCCTTGCCTGTGCTCCCTGAGCTACCTCCTTTCTTGGGGAGAAGGATTCCTCTTCTGAGAGCCTCTTCCTGCCCCTGTAGGGGGCCAATGCAAGGGGCCATGTGCCTTCTTGTGCCCTTCCTGGGACAGGGCTGTTGGAAGGCCTGATGTGGCCCCAGTCAGCTCCCTTCCCAGAGGCAGGTGCATCTGGCGTGGGCAGCTGCCACCAGGGTGGCAGACAGGGCAGCCAGTCTACTTAGGAGGCTCACTGGGAGGGCCTGGGGCTCAGTCCAGAACCCCATGGGGGCAGAGGGAATCCTGGGTGCTCACTCTGCTGCCCCAGGAGCAACCCCAGCTCTGTCCCTGGTCTGCCCTCTTGGGGAACTCTCCCTTCCCGGGGAGCAGCAGCAAGCAGCTGGCATTTTTGAGGCGATGAAGTGGGTGGCATTGCAAACTCGGCCTCTTGCAGGGAGAAAAGGGCTTTCGTTGGGGAATTGGGCTCCCTTGGCCCCATCCCTGGGGGATAGGTGAGGGGGGGCTGCAGAGTTATCTTGTGCCTTTCACTGTATTCTGCCTCCAGCCCGCCCCAGGTGCAGCTGAGTAAGAGATTCTGAGAACAGAGGCTGAGAGCTGACCTTTTCAGACAAGTGGGAGCAGGCAGTCATAGCCAGGGGCTGTGGTCCCTGGGGAATGCAGCCTTCAGCCCTCATCGCTAATTCCAGGTGTGAGGAGCCAGCCCCTGATACTGACAGGGAGCTTAAACTCTATCCGATGACTCAGTCCCATCTGTCTACCCCAATAGCAGCAGAAACGTAGCAGCTGAGGGCGTGCAGGAGCTCTGAGGGCTGTGTTCTCCATGTGTGCATGTCCTCCAGTGTACTTTGGGTCCCAAGGCAGTTGCCACCTGTCCATGCACCTCCTATTCCCTAAGGAAATGAAACAGTCCTGCAGTTGAGATGGCTTTAGGTAGGGGGACCTCAGGGAAAGGGCTGAAGGAGACTTCTCCCCCAGCATGAGAGGACTGGCCATGCTGACATTATGTGTGAGGTCCCTGTGGCCCCACCAGACTCACAGACTCATGGGAGCCATCACGGTGCATGTCCTCATGTAAATGTGCAGAAGGCACTCTCTGCAGACGTCATCAATTTCTGCCACATTAAAGACTCGTAGTAGCCTTAGAAGGTGCTGGAAGAGAAGTGGGAGCTGGTAGATGGGGGGCCTCAGGATCTCACCTTCATGCCTGTCCCTTCGGCTGTGCTCAGTTCTAGGTCACACCAAGGCCACTGGGCAGTGAGGACTATTGGTGTCCTGAGGAAGGGACAGGGCTGCAGAATCTGCCTGTGGGCACATGGCCTGGCCTCAGGGCTGGCTCACACTCAGCCCTCTGTGTGTAATGCCATGCGCAAACTGTGGTGAGGTGACTTCTCAAGGTACAAGCCTTGCTCTTTCCTTACTTTTTCATCAGCTGTATTGATATAATGCATCCAGTGACCTTGATCTACCACTCAGTTGTTGGGAAACAAACCATCCCCAAACTGTGGCTTAGAACAGCAGTCTTTCATTATTTTTTTATGAGTCTGTAGGTCAACCAGACAGTTTTGCCCTCGGCTCACTCCTGTGTCTGAGTTCCGGCAGGTGGCTGGGGTGGCTGCCTGGGGCCAGCCTGATTCTTCTCAGTGTCTCTGCATCCCTCCAGCAGGCTAGCCCCAGGGTGTTCTCATGCTGGTGGCAGGGTTCAAGAGTGGAAATGGAAATGCACAAACTCCTATTCAAACCTTTCTCTGCGTCAAGTTTACTACTGTCCCATAGGCCAAAGCAGGTCATGTGGCTGAGCCCAGAGCCAAAGCTGGAGGGGACTTCACAATGGCAGAGCAAAAGGCTGGGGATAGAGAGCCCATCGCACCACGCTGGTTAAAAGGCAGCTTCTCCAGGCAGTGCGGTGCAATGGCACTTTCTGCAGTGCTCCGTCACATATCCTCTATATCTGCGCTGTCCAACATAGTAGCCTCCAGCCAGGTATGGCTGTTGAGTACTTGAAACGTGGCTAGTATGACTGAGGAACTGAGTGTATAATTTTGTTTCATTTTGATTAATTGAAGTTAAGTTTAAATAGCCACATGGGGCTAGTGGCTATGTTATTGGACAGTCCAGATCCAGGGGAGACCCTCCTTGGCACCCGTGGAAAGTTGGGCAGGCCCAGGCCTGCAACCTACTGCTGGTTTTAGCCTGGGTGGCTGTTTGGTGCTGAGACTTTGACAGCTCACGATGGGCAGGTGTGACCTGTGCTGTGCTCAGGAGAGGGAGGGCCTGGGGCTGACACAGCGCTGAGGATTTCTAGTTGGGGGTCTCCTCTCCCTGCACATTCACCTGCCACACCCTCTGACTGGTTTAGAAGAGGTTCTTTAACCTCTTCAATTTTTCTTTCAAGAGGCTTTGGGCTACAGATTTCCAGAATCCTGAGGCAGACCAATGGGGATGGAACATTCTCTCTGGGAAACTGATGGGTGTTGACAGCCCAGAGCCTGTGAGTTGGAGGCCTTGTGTGCTGGGGTGGGTGTGAGGCACTGTGTGGTCCTCAGTTGGTCACCTTTCCTTACTTTTGAGGAGCCCTGTGCAGGCCACCTGTCCCAGCCCTGGGGCTAGGTGAGGAGGGTCCTTCCTGCTACCTGGCACCTCCTTCCCATCCGACTCAGTGGGCAGAGAAACACGTGTGTGTTGCTGGGCAAGTGGGTTTGGGTGCATAGCTATGCCCCAGGAACCAGGCTGCCAATGGACGAGGGGCAGGCTGAGGTCACTGCTGGACTGGAACCCAGGTGCCACCAGCTTGAATGTCAGCCATACGTGTGCCCCCTCTGGAAGGGCTCTCAGGTTCTCATCTGGGCACTGCCATACCGTCCTATGGGCCATCAGGAGGTTGGCTCCCCAGGCCTCCCAGGCACAGGCTCCTGAGACACAGCAGGTGGTCCCCACAGGAACTCTAGTTTCTTAGAATCCCATGAAAATGGTAGTTGGTAATTTTCATCCCCAGTTTACAGATGAGCCCCTCAGACTCAAAGGCGATGGGTGATTTGCCTGAGTGTTTAAGTAATTATATTAAAACCTAAGTGTCGGAGTCCATGGCAGGAGCTGAGGCCCCAGTCCAGGGATTACCCCTGTGGTAGGGAGCAGGGGTCCTGTGCACAGGCCCCAGTGCCCCAATCACGACTGCTGTGGTGCTCTGCCCTCCTCCCTGGTGCTGTGTTTGGTTCTCCATGACGGCTGCTGTCACAGTCCAGCTGGGTCTAGACTTACGGCTGAGGCTATGCTCCTGGCAAGAAGGCGCCCCAGCCCAGGGACCCCTGTAGCAGCACACATGGTGCCTGGTGTGTGTGGAGCTCAAGAGGTTTGTGGAATGGCACAAAGAGAAAATTTGGAGAGGAACTGGTTGGGAACAAAATCTGGTTGCATTAACACTGTTCACTCTGATTTTGATACCCGGTAACTGGAAGGACCAGGGTGTACCCATGGGAAGCCCAGGGCATGGGGAGAGTGCAGCTTGTGGGATTTGGGCAGAGCTGGAGTGTCCTTTGGAGGGTGTGACTCAGGTGCGGGGCTTGCTTTTGGGAGGAGGAATGCAAGGATGAGCCTGGGCTTTGAAAATTGGCCTATGGGTAGGGACTTTGGATGGCAGGTGACAGAAACCTACGTTAGGCAGGAAAGAGAATCCCTTGGCTCACAGAATTGAAAAGTCCAGGAGAAACAGGCTTCAGACACAGATGACCCAGAGGCTTGGATGACATCATCAGGACTGTCACTCTCAGACCTTGCCTCTGTGTTTGTTCCATTCTTGGGCAAGTCTCCCTCTGGGGAAGCCAGATGGCTTGGACAGGGGTGCTGCCAAGATTGATTTGGGCCCTGATAAAAAAATTTCAGCAACCCCCAGCCCTCATGAGGATAGGTTTGTACCAATATGCAACACGGCTGGGCTCTGGGCTCCCTTCTGGACTCTCACCTCCTGGTAATTTGATCCAGCAGGCCTCTCTCCCAGGTGCTCCACGAAAATGCGGATGGAGGCCCAGTGGACCCCCTCAGGCCATCTGCTCATCCCTGAACCAGTCAGGATGTGAGCTTCTGATTGCACTTGGGGTGAGAGTCACCCCAGCTGAAAAAAGAGTGGAAAAGAATGTTTTATCCAGGAAAATCAGGTCCCTGAAGCAAGGCAGCATCCTCAGCCTCGGGGCTGGGGTGCTATGGTATGGGCTGTTCAGCCACAGGATCGGGGCAGGCACCAAGGGCTGGAACTGGGCATGTCCTGAGGCTGGGCCAGCGCCCGCCAGTGCACATAGCCTGGATGACAGAGCTGCCAGGACGGGGCCCACGGAGGGAGGGAAGGAGAGCTCCTCATGCAGGGTGATTTCTGTCTGCAGGACTTGTTAGGTGGCAAAAGGGCCGCCCATGGTGGGAGACAGTCTTCTTGGGGCTGCATGAGGTGAGGACATTGGGACTGAGCTGTTATCTTGCAGCCTCCATTCACCGGAACATGAGGCAGGCTGGGATCCTCGTTTCTGGTGGTGGTCTGCGTGGGTGGGGGGCGTTAGGGTTAGGCGCCCTGCAAGGTCCCTTCCCACTTATAGACGATCCTCTCCTCCTCCTCTTCCTCCATTTCTCAGATATCCGTGGGCTCCAAAGCTTTCTGGACCAGGCCTCGCGGCTGGGCCTTGACGTCTCTTTACAAAAGGTGGACAAGAATATTAGCCACGTGTTCACCAGCCTCTTCACCACTATGAAGACGGAGGAGCTGAACCGCTACCGGGACACGCTGCGCCGCGCCATCCTGCTGCTCAGCCCGCTCGGAGCCCACTCCTTCATCAACGAGGTAGGTCGTCGGGCCTGAGGCCGCAGGAGCCTGGGCCCGGGGCTCCACGAGGGATGACTTGGGGGCTACAGGGCACAGTCCTCTCGAGCATGGACCTGGGGACCCATGGATCCTCAGCCTACAGCTCACGGCGATGCAGGGGGAGACCCCAAGCATGACTTAGCTCCTGATGGGTCTGTGACAGGTGACCCAAGGCTGCCCAGACTCTGAGAGGCTATGGGATGGCAGGGGGAAGCCTGTTTACAAGTCACTGCTGGAGATTTCTGAGGCAAAACTCAGGCCAATTTTTTTTTTTAACTTTAACTTTTCCTCATTTGTTAACAGGAGTAAGCCTCTAGGGATATGATAAATTTCCAGCTCTCTGCAGAGGAGGGCAGGTCTGCCTTGGGATTTGTTAGCACCTGGAGGAGGTGTCTGTTGCCTGTCGTCAAACGATATGTTGTGTGTGCTTATTTTTTTCTTGTGTGGGCTAATCAGTGTGTGTTTCTTTTAAAAAACATCCGTATTAAGGGTTAGGACCTTCTAATGAAGACAGGGCCCACCAATTTAACAAAGAATCCATTAATCTGAGATCAGACCATCTAGGAATACTCTATGCGCTGGCTGATGGGTGCTGGCCCCAGCAGTCTAATGGCAGAGAGATGACAAGCAGGGGTTGAAGGTTCCTCCCCAGCCTGTGTTGGTTTTTTGGGGGCGTGCTGGGGGTATGCTGTGCCTGGGAGCAGGGGTGGCCCAGGGCTCCCTGCAGTTTCTTCACACCACCCCAGACCCCTTGTCCCTCTCTGATTGAAAGTGAAAGGTGGAATTAGACTCATTCCATTTGATGTACTTTGCTTGTTCTGCTTTCTCCTCTGATTAATTTTTACTCAAAATGCTACCTCATGCATCAGGAGCCAGCATGAAGCTCACTGCTAGTGAGCATAAAATTCGGAACGCTTAATGTGGTGTGATTGGCCGGCAGCCCTGACGCTCACAGCTAATCAGGCCTGGATCATGCGGGTGGTCAGCCAGGCTGCAACGTCCTGTTGGCCCTCGGCGTTTTCACTAGAACGCGTGTCCCCAGGTGAAGTGATTCAGCCCAGTAACGGGGCAGCCTAGGATTAGCAGCGCTGATGAGTCTGGCTTTTCTCCGGACGTTCCTGGTGGTGTATTTGCAGAGGTGTGCACACGGGATAGCTTTTCTCCTCGCTGCATTTCTCCGGCTGGAGTCTGCGCTGGCGATGGTGCCGGCTAATCCCGTCACCAGCCTCTTTCCTTCTCTCTTCTCGCCAACCCCTTGCCTCCTCTTCTTGCTTCCTTTCCTCCTGCCGTGCTCTGCCCCAAAGCTTTGGAGTGGAAAGAACGTTGGCCTTGCCGTTAAACGGATTTGGGAGCAAGTCCCAGCTCCCTCGCTTACTATGTATGTGACCTTGGGCACATTGCCTCCCCTTCTTAGCCTCAGTTTCTTCATCTGTGTAATAGGGTGGAGGAGATGGCAGCTGTGATAAAGCATTTGGCACGCAGCTTGTCAGAAGCATCTGTCTACATCTCATGGCGCACCTCCATGCCTTTCCCTTCCACATGAATTCAGCCCCTTTCTGTTTCTAGGCCATGCAAGGATTTAACACAGAACCAAGATTGGCCTAAAGATGATATTTCCAAGTGGTTAATTACACAGACTCCTGCAGTGTTGGACACGCTCAGCTCAGCTGTGGACTGTTGCCTTTCCAATCTCTCAGGCGTTTGCAAGGTCTTTGCATTGCAGGTGCTTCGGGGCTCGGGATGCTCCCAAAGTGCCCCTGCCTAATGTGAGGCAAGAGTGACAAGCACCTGGGAGTGGTGGCGGGGGACCGAGGGGAAGAACAGCATCTGGACTTTGGGCGTGGGGCATGGGGCCAGCCAGCCCCACCGTTGCCTGCAGCTCCAGTGGGTGAGAGGGCTGGTCTGTGGTCCATGCCCCTGCTGCTAGGAGGGGAGGAAGCCATCGTTTCCTGGCTGCCCACCGTGGGCCTGCTCTTCATGTGCGTTCTCCAGTCCTCACGCTTTGCAGATGAGGAAACTGAAAAGCTAAAGAAGTGAAATGACTCGCTTACGACCACACAGCCACTAAGGGACTGAACAGGATTCAAGTTCAGGCCTGACCCACGCCAGAGCCCCTGTCTTCTGTGCTGTGATAACTACGGAAAACACATACACTGCACTCCCTGGAGTGGATAAAATATGGCCCTGCTGGTTTCCTGGGGGAAGATTTGGTTTGTCTGTGTCTGGCCGGGCCTGGCAGAGGTTTTTAGGTTGCTTATGCCCTAAGGATTTTAGTGTATCTACTAAGAGTGGCAGGGGAAGGAATCTGGACTCTGGAGGGGAACATGTCCTGTCCGACTGGCTAGCCCAGCAGGTCCCCTAGGAGACACCTGGGAATGCTGTCCCTCACTAAGCCTTCATCGCTACCTGGAAGGCTTGCTTGGGCTTCTTGAGCAGACTGACCCAATGCCCTCTTTGTTGTGACAAGGACAGATGATGTTCACAAGGGTGACCCACTGCCAGAACACGTCCTGAATTTTATGACACCCAAAACACTGTTACAGAGAAGTAAATGGACTCTCAGTCCCCACTGTCATTGGTTATATGTCAATATTGTGCTCCATGTCATCGGGGATGACACGGATGACATACGGTTGATAGGGGCTATGTGGCCTTTCCAGCTGTAACTTCTCCCCTTCCCTGCTTGAAAAGCCTGGCCCAATGGGAGTGAGGGAGGAAGACGGATCTGTCTGAATTTTTTACATTTAGCTAAGGCTGGCTCATTCACTGTCGTTTATAACCTTCATAACAAGGCTGCTCGTGACTTAGCAGGTGAGGGTACAGCTGTCCAGCCACACCCTAATGGGGGAGCGGGTTGCCCTATTGTCTCTTTGCCTGGGCCTGGGCGCTTCTCTGGGCTACCAGCTGCTGAGTGGGGGCTTCTGTGGGCAGTGACAACCACTTACGATGTTTTCCTCATGCAAGCCCGTCAGCTGACTCACCTCTGGGGAAGGTGGGGAGTGGCTCTCCTCTCCCCACCCCAGGGCCACAGAATCCCTGCTGTGACCAAGGCAGCAGCTGCTGAGAGAGGCCGAGGGCAGAGGCCTTGCTCGGGAATTCCACCAAAGGCTACTGGAGCATCTTCCCTTCTGCTCACGGTTCCTCTGTCACTTCTCCAGCATTTAGTGAGTCCAGGCCTGTGCCAAGTTCCGTGCTGGGCACTGAGGCTGTTGTCCCTGCTCTTACAGGGTTCCCAGCTCTGGGGAGGACAGACGTGTGAACAGACCCCTTTACCTATAATGGCAGAGGTGTGGACTGGGTCTTGTGAGAGCGTTAAGGACCACCCTTAATGCAATGCCCTCTGGCCAGGGAGAGATGGGGGTGGACAGAGGGTCCAGGGAGGCTTCCTGGAGTAGGTAACATTGGGGCTTGGACTATAGGAACAAACTGGCACTGACCTCATGGACAAGGAGGGGTAGGGGAGGAGGTCAGCAGACCTCCAGTGTACTCAGGGCCTTGTGTGTCGTGCGGTTGCAGCAGTGAGCGTGCAGTTTGGGGAGTGGCTGCAGTGAGGCTGGGGATCTTTTGCCTGGGCTGGGAATGTCACCCTCAGGCCCGGGTTTTTCTTGGTGTTCTTTTCAGGGTGTTAGAGGTTAATGGCCCACGGTTTAAACGTCTTACTGTTCTTGTTCTTTTCTAGGTCAGGTTTGATGGGGAGACCCCCAGACCATAGTCGATTTTGGCCCTGGGCTTCATTTCAACTTCCTGGAGGGGATTTCATTCATCTGTCTGTCCATATATCCGTTTGTTCATCTGTCCGTTCATCCATCAATCTGTCCAGCCACCCACCCAGCAAGTACCGATTGGTATCTCCTGTGGATCAGGAACCATATCGAGTCCTGGGTGGAAACGCAGGGCCAGAGCCTCCTCCCTGAGACCAGCCGTGACATCGGAGATTGTGGCCACACACCATGGCCATTCCAGCGGCCAGCGAAGGGGCTGTTCCCGGGGCTGCCGTCCATCGAAGCCACTCTGGGTGTGTGTGGACGTCCTGGGGATTGCAGGACTTCCTTCTGTCCCCTCTCGCTTATTGTTTCCGCGCCTCCAACTCCAGCTGTACACAGGCTCCCTCTTCCTTTGTTTCTTCTCTACTTCTCTTCTCTTTCCCATCTCTTTTGTCTCACTGGAAAGAGTAGAAAATTAAACGATTTTAAGCCATTTGTGTACTTCATGGAGAAGAGTACTGCTCTTGCTCAGAGTTCATGAGGAGACCGGCAGCCCGGCCCAGGCACCGTCCATCTGTGTGCCCTGCAGGGGCCGGGCAACCTGAGTGTGAGCCCCGAGGGCCAGGGCCTGGGCAGTGGTTACCATTTTATCTTTGAGGGCAATGCAAGGCCTGTTGCACAGCGGCTGGCCAATGGGAACCCGATAGGAAGGGCCTGACGCTGGGTCTTCTTGTGTGTGCACCTCGGTGGCCTTTTTTTGCTGGTCAGCAAGTCCTAGGCCAGCCTATCAGCAAGGGCTTTGGTCTTAAAACTCCCGCTATCGGGAAGGCTTAAGGTTACCTAAGGACCCTGCTTTGGGCCTGGGCGGGTCAGGGAACTGGGCCTGGGCTGCTCCTACAGGTGAGACTCTCCTGGACCCAGCTGTGGCACATGGCAGTGGGGCTCAGGGTGCAGAGAGATGAGTGTGTGGGGGGAGGGTTGGTGGTGAGCTGCAGTGCAGGCAGGTGTGGGGGACTGGGGACACATGTGTGCACACGCCTTTGCACACACATGCACACACACAGACACAGGCTGATCCAGTTATAAACTAAACAGCCACATACACTGGTACAACCAGACCCTCAGGCTAGCACAGCCCAGCAGGAACTGACACACACTTACACAGACACACACACCTGTGCAGACCCCTATGTAAACACACACACACACACACATCAACCAGGATGTCTGCATTTTGGGTGGCAGAGTGGTCTGGGGAAGGCATTACGTCTTTGGGAGAGAGATGGCAGTTGCTGAGTGACAGTTGCAGCAGGTGGCATTTATGTCTGCAGCTAGATGGATGCCAGCCATCTCCTTCTGTAGCAGGAGGAATGGGAGAGAGAGCTGCCCGGAGAACAGCTGGTTGGTAGCACAGCTTCCCGTTGCTCTGAGGGAGGATGCCACCTTTTTCTCAGGCTGGGTGGAGTAGAGGGTGACAGAACAAAGGCCAAAGGGGCCATTCCCAACATCCTCCTGCCCCCGATATGGGTCTCCCAGTCATGGAGCGTGGCTGGAGGCCAATTCAATCCTTCATAGAAGCACAGCCTGGGGTAACTCCTGGCTTCAAATCAATTGCTTCTCAGTGTTTGCTGCAGTGAGTGAATCTCCTGCAATTTGAGCATAAAGACTGTGCTTTTAAATACATTTATAGCAAAGGTAAATTAAGTAATCACAATGTTCTGTTGTCCCACATGATATATGCAAATATTTCTCACTTCAACATGGTAAATCTTTAGCAGATGACTTTATCACTCGGAGCTTGGATAATTCTGTGCCATTTAAGTGTCATTTACCAGAATATTTCAAATTATTAATTAATTATAGAAGATTAATTTTAAAATATGGCCTCACATTTGCATTTAATTATGTTCTACTGTTTATGGATTTTAAAGCCTTAGTACTTTAGCAAAAGTGTTTTGAGTCTGAGAAATCCATTTTTTCCCTCAGAAATTCTTAGAAATAAGATCATGAGGAAGAGACATTTTCTAGAGTTTCTTCTGGTGGGTTGGAGCTCAGCAGCTGTGGGAAGCAGCCAGAACTCAGGACTGGGCTGAGACAGGGAAGGGGATAGGGAGCTGTCCTGTTAGGGCCTGTCCAAGACTCCACAGGGCTGCCATCCCCTTCCTTCTCTGTCCCCACCTTCCTGCTCACCCTTCCAAACCCCATGCATGCAGGGAAAGCTGTCATGAGCTCCCTCCCAGGGCTCCGACCAGCACTGGTCTTGCCAGCCTCTGTCGTCCCAGCCTGCTGTCCCCTCTCTGTGACAGCACCATCAAATCCCGCAGGGCCTACGGCATCCTGAACAAGCTGGCCCAGCCCCCGCCAGCTGTTATTCCCATTGCATCTCCCTCCCTATATGACCTGGGAGTGTTTAGGGCTGGAACTGGGGCTTGTTCATCTTCATTAGTCACCTTTTCAGGGCCTGTGCATGACGGCTGACAGGCCAGTGAAGGGTGGGATCCCTGGAGCACGGCTTCTGCCCCACACAGACGTTTTCTAGAATCTCGATTGCCCACCTGGCAGACTAGACATGTTATTAATGCTCCAGCCAAGCAGGGCACCCAAGTAAAACATTGTTTTGAAAGAATTTAATGTTTGATTTTTGATATTTCACAGGAGCATCCGAGCAGTCATCAGGGGAAAATGCCTGAGCGCCGCTGCACTTTCTGGAGTTTATTTTCTGGTTGAGGGTTTCTATTCCGAATTACATCTTGAATTGTGCCACCCCATTCCCGGTGCTCAGGGGTGCAGAAGGCCTTACTAGGACTGTCTGGGAGGCCTGTCTGCTCGCTCCTGGGATCGGAGAGAGGGAGCACGTGCCTGAAGCTTGAGCCTGAAGACACCTGGTGTTCTTTTCTTCCTTTGTGGGTCATTAAATAGATGAGCAAAGTGTCAGCTCCTCCCCAGGGTAGTCTCTGTGGCTAATTAGCAGGTAGACCCTTTGGCTAGGGAGGCAGCAGCATGAGAAATAGGCATCAGCGAAGGGAAACAGCCTGCAGCAGCTGAAGTCAGTCAGTTACCCTTTCTGCTCCCCAGATCCCCAAGGGCGTTCAGCTTGGGGGGCTCCCCTGAGGTGATGAGTCAGCCTTTTGCTGACTGAGGGCTGGATGGAGAGCCCATGGGGAAGCCATAGGAAGGTGTGGAGAGGATGTTCTGAAAGGCAGAGGTGAGCTGAGATTATCCAAATGGGCATGAATCCATCCTGGAGAAGCTGTGCTGTGCAACCCACGTCTGGTGCTGACCTCTGCAGCTGGGTCCCTTGCCATCTGTGCCTGAGCTACCAGTCTGCTTGGAGAGAAGTCCTATGCATCCATTAGCCAGTGCAGCATAACAAGCCATCGTGGAGCTCAGTGTCATGAAACAGTGAGCATGTGCCATTCCTTGTTGAGTCTCCTGGTTAGCACACCTGGGCTGGGCTCGGTGGGTCTCAGCAGGGCTGGCTGAAGGGGATGGCAGCTGGCCAGCTGTAAGCTGGGGTGACGGGAAACTGCTTGCTAGCCTTCACCTGTCCAATGGCAGCAGCAGAGTTCCCCAAGAACCAATCCAAGTGCTTGGCCCAGGAAGAAGACTCCACCTCTGGATGCCAGACTCCTCCTGAGCGGGCAGCCACAAAGTCCCATTGCAAAGGCAGTAGATAAAGTAAGGAGTGGAGGGTTGGGACCAGTTTGTAATCCATCTACCATTGCCCCAGTGTGCAGGTGAGCTTCCTGGTGCGAAGTACATGGCTGGCAGGTGACCTGGGGCCACAGCCTCCTGACTCTTGTTTCAACATTGCTGAACTCTGGGGTGGGTGTGAAGACGCGGGGGATGTGGAACAGAGGGAGGGATGGAACTTGCGTTTATTTATCAAGTTCGCCTTGTTCAGACCCATTAACTCACCTAATCTGGAAAGGAAGGGCTATGGCAGAGCCCTGGAGCCCATGGGAATTTTGGGATTTGCTCATGGTCCCTCAGATGAAAAGAAACAGAGCTGGGCTGAGAATTCAGATCAGCTTGACTCAAAGCCCTTCCCTCTCCCACTGTGTGCCATTGGGGGAGGAGGCTTGTCGCCCTTGATGGGCTGAGGGGAAGCCCATTTTTCTCCTAGAACATGACACAAGGTGAACTTGGTGACCTTGATGTGGAGGAGCAGGTTGGGTACGGGCAGGTGGGCTGGTCACCTCTGAGAGCTCATCTGGGGATGAGGGACCCCTGACAGGGTCTCTGCCAACATATCTGCCGAGAGCATGGGGGTGGGTGGTCTGCCTCTGCCTCTCCCTCCACAACCAGAAGAGTGGCTTCCTTGGGACCCCTGGGCACAGAGTCTGAGGACATTTTCTTAACCCTTCTTTCTGTCCATGGGGCAGGAGGGTGGTGTTCCAGACAGACACCACCCAACCTCTGTCCCACTTCCTCACTGTGCGGCTTTCTGGGCTTTGGTTCCCATCTGCGCAGTGGAGTTAAAATGCTTGACTCATGAGTTGCTCTAAGAATTAAGCGTGGGGTCCTATGGGGGGCAGGTCTCCCTTGTTCTTCTCTCATGGCGCCTCACAGCACTGTCGTGTGAATGGGGAGATGGACGAGCGTTAGAAAATGCAAAGATACGGGCCACAGCGGGCAGTGAGAAAAATGAAAAGTCTTCCCTGACTTGGGACAAGTTCAACGTTCCACACTTTGGAATGAGCTAGTGGTTGACGCCAGAGCTTGTGATGGTGGCTGGGGCTGGCCAGTGGACCTAGGAGAGAAGTGACATGGTGGGTGGCCTGTTCACAGGTATGTCTGCTACTCACCTCTCAGCAGATTGCTGAGCAGGGCATTGGGCAGCCTCCCCGTCTCCCTAGTGCGTGACCTGCGTGACTTCAGTATCCCTTGTGTGCTGTGAGCGATGCTGGGAGAAAGCAAGGCCCAGGGGTGTGGTCTACAGCTGGAATCATGGAGATCACGGGGGATTGGGGAAGGAATTGCTGTAGGAGACAAGTGAGGAGGTGAGGGGGAAAAGAACCAGATGGAAGTAGAACGTCGGAGGAAACGTGGAGCAGGAGAATCAAGTGAGCATGTCCCCCCCCCCCCCCCCCCCCCCCCCCCCCCCCCCCCCCCCCCCCCCCCCCCCCCCCCCCCCCCCCCCCCCCCCCCCCCCCCCCCCCCCCCCCCCCCC